ACGCAAAATTTTAGGTAACTTAATCAAAAATTTTCTATGTTTAATAAGCAATCTCAAATCTAACATATACATATATTATTCAGGATTCTGTCAAATACCTATATAAATATATCTATTAAGATCATGATCAAGCAAGTAACACCCTGTTTCAATCAAACAATATTAGTAATATACAAATAAAACTAATTGATGAAATCAAAATGTAAATATATTTCTGTTTCTAAAAGTATCTAGCAGATTTTTCATTATAAAATGCATAATCATGTTTCAAATATTTAAAAACTGATAGTTCATCTCCTACAGCAATAAAATATTACTTTTTAAGATAGTGATAATTTGCAAAATATTATTAAATATTTTTTTCAACACATATAAAATAACCTTTGATGGCTTAGTTTTAAAAATCCTGCAGCATATATATATAAATATATAGAATTCTTACTTTATTACACTTGGAATATGTCTTACCATAAGAGAAATTCTCAAAAGATTGCAATAGAAGTTATTAAAATATTTTACATGATATGATCTTTAGAAGGTAAGAGATATTATCTCTAAAATCTTGCTTACTTATGTAAAAAGTATTATCAGCTTTAATGATCAAATCTGTTAATAAGTATTTATATAGAAGCTTCAAAGAAGTATGTATATATTTAGGCCTACTTTAAAATGATGCTAAATGAGATACATATTTATGAGAGTCAAATCAATTACAAACAGGATAATAACTAAACACACCTTTCAATAATTCTCCTTTTTTGCTAACTAATAATATCTAAAGACCTAAGAAATACTTATAAATCATTATGTGAAGATATTTTATATTATGATCATCAACTTGTCTAAAATTTAAGATAGTAAAGTAAATAATTCTATTGAAAATAAGACACTTAATTAATTAGAATATTATTTGCGTTTAAATAAAAATCATTGAAAAATTTTCTAAATATACCACTCCTTTTAGAAATATTTATAATAATATCTAAGATTTAGATCAACTGATTCACAAAAAAAAATCATATAACATTATATAATTAAAAAGTGAATTAAATCAAAATGTACTATTACTAAATGAAGACCAATATACTAAATACAATACTATTTCTAAGCAATTCAAAATAGATCAAAGTATTTTTTTATAGATAATCTTAGTGATATCAAAAAGATATTTTTTATAATACCTTACTCACTAAGATAGAAATTGAATTAATTTGATTATTATAAATTAAAAATATAGTTGGTATTTGTTATATATATAGGAATATTTAAATTTTCAGCAGCTAATAATTATTGCATAAATGATATTATTCTGATTTTAACAAGTTTAATAATAATTAATTTTTTTAATAATAAAAATTAAATAAATAATAAATTATTTTTTAGATAAAATGCTACTTACATATTTTAGATTGTATGAAATTACTTTTTGATTAATTTTCAAAAATTGATCCACTTTTGTCACATATTAAAAGTAACTTTATCTATTAGTATTAGATATCATTATTAATAAAATAATTATATAATTTTTAAGATAAAATGTATATACTTTTTGTATCAAAAATAAACTCACTCCTAAAGGATATAAAATTTTGTTATTAAGTTAATCAAGTTACATTTATATATTTATATTTATATCTTATATTAAGAAATCTAATATTGATCTATTTTAAATGTTAGTAAAACTAGTTATGAAGTATATTATTTAGTTAAACAATTACTATTAAGACATACTTTTAATATTTATATAGATAACTACTTTTCAGATGTAACTTTATTTAATTTTTTTATAAAAAGGGCTTTGGATCTTATAAAATAGTAAAAATAAATACTGCAAATTATTTTTTATTTTAAAAAAAGAAAAGGAAAAATTTTAAAATAGAATCATTAATTGGTATAATAATAAAAAATATATTAACTTTATTATAGCACAGGTCGAATAATAACAAATCAAGTACCAATTGGTTATCATCTAGTAACCCGGATGATAACCAATTAGTACCTGATTTTTTTTTATTTAGAAACCTGATTGCTGTTGTAAAATGGTAGCAAAGGAGTACAATCAGATTCAAATCAGGGCATACAAATCAGGCTCCCATCAGTCACTAATTTGATACCAATAGGATATACCTATTGCTATAAATTTATTTAATTGTTAATACCCCGATTGATATCTTTCAATCTTCCAATTGATTACAACATCAAATAAAATTTTTCAATTACAAAAAAATTTATTCAACAAATTTACTTATTATTTACTTATTTAGCATTTATTTATAGCAGAAAAAAAATATAAAAACAAAAAAAAAAAAAAAACTAAAAAAAGCTGAAAAAAGAATAATTTAAAATTTAAATATTGCATTGATTAATTGTTATCCTTCTCATAATCACTATTATATTCCATTGATACTAAACTTCTACTTCTTCTTTCTCTATTCCCATTATCCTCCTCAAAACTGTCAGCATAGTTTCCATTATGACTATCATCATCCTCTTCGACATTATTCGTATCTTTATGGACTAGAAAGTAGTTAACATTACTATATCTTCTAATGTATAACTTTAACGATCCATTGTACCCTGTTCTTGTCTAAGCAGGGGCATTCACAGGTGCCTTTTCTTTGTTTGATACAAATTCGACATAATTATACATCCATTTTCTCATTCTGCATACCTTCAAATCTTGGCTGAATTCAGTATCTACATAATCTCATAAAAAGGTACGCAACTATTAAAAAATATTAATGAATACATACTGATTAGAACTAATAATGTAATAATATTCATTACTTACCGTTGAAGATTGCCACTTAATGTCTCTAATGACGATCTTTCATTTGGGACTTTTGTCGTCAGTTTCTGATACTTCCAGACTATGATATTAA